GGGGGGGGGGGGAGTTAGAGATAGAGAAAAATAGGTTTGGCTTAGAGATAGAGATAGAAGTGAGGGAGAGGGAGGGGTGGCTACTAACTTTAGGTTGTGTGTGTGAGGGGAGGGCCTGAAGTGGGTTGACAACCATGAGGTTTTCAAGTTCAAGTCCCAGTGGAGGCAAAAAAATTTGGTGATTTCTTCTAATCTCTCCAAGCCTCGGTGGATACAGTTACCCAGTACCTGCGCTTGTGGTAGGTATCATGTACCCCATGGAATTAGTCGAGGTGCGCGCAAGCTGGCCTGGACACCACAGTTATTAAAAGGTTCTTTTTCCATCTTTTTTGATGACCGAAAAATCCGTTTGGGGCCGATCCTTTGGACCAACCGCAGCCTCCGAAACTCGGTGGATAATGGGCCCGCCTCTCTACCCTTCTCCACTTAAATACCAGGCTTTGCTTTGCATGGTGTGGGGGCTTGAACCTGTGACCTAAGACACAAATCCACCACCCTTTGCCACTTGAGCTAGGCCCTGGGGGCTTCTTTTTCCATCTTATAGAAAGAAAAAAAGGTTGTGTGTGTGAGGGTACATTCTAATCCAGAATAATGAGAATTAATCACCCCTTTAGGAAATGCACTAACAAAAGGTAATAGCACTGAGCATCTTGATCTTTAGGCTTGACCTATCATTGATCACTAGAAAATCAAATTGAGACTGCATGGGTCACCAAACCTGTTAGGTCTCCCTAAAATGAGGCCTTTGAGATTGGCACTTCTTAAGAGTACTATAGGATTACTCTAGAAATCTGTCAATCACTTATATGTTAGATTCCTTCGCACTTTTGCTAGAATTTCTTGATCCTTGTTTGGCAGTTGTAGTTTATTACCTTCTGCTGAGATATGCAATGCATGAGCATTTTCTATATGATCTATTGTTCAGCCACTAGCAATCATAGTTAATTTGGTAGGGAAGATGATTGTCAAAATTGGGGGATGTTACCTTACACAAAAAAAATTAGGGGAGGATTTGGTGATTCTTGGGGAAGACAAATGATGTTTCTCCAACAGCTAGCCTTAGTTGGTCTGTCTGCATTGTATATTTCCAAGTTTCTGCATTTAGCATATTTCTGAAGTAACCAAAATATGATGGCCTTTATCTTTTGTGATTTTTCAGTATTGTGGATTTTTGTACTTACGAAGTTCTGGAATATATGCTTATATTATTATCTGTATTTTCTGCTGTAAATGTTCATGTCCTTGCAGTATTTAGTAACTTTGTGATGATGTTGTTATTATCAGGGTCCCTGCCTCTTCCATGGTCCATCCGGATGAAGATAGCTCTGGGTGCTGCAAAAGGTCTTGCTTTTCTTCATGAGGAAGCAAAAAGACCAGTGATATACCGTGATTTCAAAACATCCAACATTCTGCTAGATGCGGTGTGTTCAAACACATTGGCAAATTGATCTCACCCATTTTTATCATTTTTCTAATAACACGGTTCTCTCAGGATTACAATGCCAAACTTTCTGATTTTGGACTTGCCAAAGACGGTCCAGAGGGCGACAAGACCCATGTTTCTACTCGTGTCATGGGAACATATGGATATGCAGCTCCAGAGTATGTTATGACAGGTAACGCTACGATCTTGGTGGCTTAATGCTTACCCACATTTCAGCTTTATCAAATTTCTCTGTGTCACTTCATGTCCTACCTAGTTGGACGCTAGTCTGCTTACAAATCCTTCAAACCATTTTAATCTAGTATTCCTTAGTATGAATGTCTCTGTACAACTCCATGACCTGAAAACCACAGTTGAAAAGGCTGTTGAATGCTTCCACATCTGCTGAGTGAAACTTCCGTTACTTAGATGATCTATTCCTCTTATTGATTGAAACGCATGCCACTCTTTTGTATCAGGACATTTGACATCAAAGAGTGATGTCTACAGTTTTGGTGTAGTTCTGCTTGAAATGATGACAGGTAGGAGGTCAATGGACAAGAACCGGCCAACTGGGGAGCATAACCTTGTTGAGTGGGCACGGCCACATTTGGGTGAAAGAAGAAGGTTTTATAAATTAATAGATCCTAGACTTGAAGGTCATTTTTCTATAAAAGGTGCGCAGAAAGCTGCACAGTTAGCTGCTCGATGCCTTAGCCGGGATTCCAAAGCTAGACCTATGATGAGTGAAGTGGTTGAAGCCTTGAAGCCTTTGCCGAACCTCAAGGACATGGCCAGCTCCTCATACTATTTTCAGACCATGCAAGCTGACCGAATTGGATCAAGCCCAAATACAAGAAATGGCCTTAAAACGCAGGGATCATTCTCAAGGAATGGACAACAGCAACCAAGAAGTCTTTCAATTCCAAATGGTTCTCATGCTTCTCCATACCGTCATCAACCTCCTCAGAATTCACCAAAGCCAAATGGCGAAGCATAGAATTGGATTGGCAGAAATCTGTTTCTATCATTCTTTCATATCGCCCTCCATATATTTTGTTGGCCCACATTTATCCTTGGATGACTGGCAAGGAAATAGGAGTACACATTTTACATGATGTAGTGATCTTTGAGAGTGCTAAACTCCTACTTGAAAAGAATGTAGCAAAAGCACCATGGAGTAAATATATTTCTGTCGTAGGGGGAATTTGTAATTGTCACTGATTCAATTCCTCAGAAAAAGGGTAAATTTTTTGTTAATTGCAGCTTCATATAGTGGAGTGTAGCAAGTATATCAATTGTTGAACTGCAGTCGTCATGTCTTAGCAGATAGTAGTATACTTTTGTTTGTTCTTTTCGTTACTTTACCGTTCTGGTTTGACAGTTGAGCAACATTCTTTATTGAAGGCAATTTTTGTACTGAGATCAACCTTTTTGCATAAAATTGTTGTGTTGGTGGGAGGTAATAAGTACCCTAGTTGAGGTGTGCACAAGTTGATCTAGACACCACGGTTATAAAAAGAAGAAAGAGAGCAATTTTTTAGTCATCAAAGATAATCAACCAAAGGAAGCTGGTCATATTTGAATTACTCTGGAATCCAACAATTAAAAGAAAGAATTTCCTTAAGAAGTGGAGATTAAGTGTGCAAGTCAGTACTGAAATACTACGTAGTATATTTGTGCTAAAGGAGCTTCTTTTGGGAGAAAATATATTTCCGTGTTATTTGTTTATATCGATGAATGCAAAACATGTGTCTTTCATGATCACTTTAATGCATAATATCAAAGTGGAGCATTTTCTATATGGAAAAGAGTTTTTCCCCTTAATATCACATAGGTGACTAATTAGCTAGATATCTTCAAATGAAAGTGTATGTACTGAGGTTAACCCTAGTACCGGGTCAAATCTAGTTCAACCGGGAATTAACACTATTACCGGTGGCATTTTATATTACGATCCAAATAAAGATCGTGAAGAATTGGCAAAAATGGTTACTGTTATGTGTTTACCCTATAGTTTTCCTTTAACCCTCACTTTGTGCATTATATTAGAAAAGTTTTTAATCCTACTTATAAAGGATGGCCTCGCGCAACCATAAAGAGCGATATTTATAAATATAAACATGAATATGAACAATATTTGCGATATTTATTTACTCATATAGATTGTCGCATTGCTATTACCACAGATATTGGTAGAAGTGGTAATGACTGTGATTATCTTACTGTAACCACTCATTGGATTGATGAAGAATGGAAAATGCAAAAATGTATTATTGCATATAGAATAACTAATTCACGTCACACAGGTAAGTTTATTGCTAACACAGTTACAGATGCTCTCATAGCCTTCTCCCGAAGTACTACTCACCTATTCTCAATATATTAACGCCTATATTCCTTTGAAATCAATCTATTAAGAACGCATTAAGATCACGATATTTAATTAAGCACGGTGACTAGGTATATTCCTATCCTAACCACAAATCCGCTCCCCCTAAGGGTTAAGATCATGCTCTCTTCAATTCTTCTCTAATCTAAACATGGCTTTCCCAAGCATAGGATAGATAGTAAATAGAACCTAACTGTTGGCCAGACAATTAAGCAATTAAACACAGAATTGAAGAAACAACCATATAGTGGTGAATTATAATCAAGGTCAAGCTAATATCAAACAACAATATTCATGGCTAAATCACAACCCCAGAACAATGGGTGTTTAGCGACTCATACTCATGTTCATCACAATAAGGTTCAATTTCATCACAATTAGCAAAAACAAAGGGAAGAAAAGAAGAACTTGATGGTTAATTTTCCTCCTTGCCTCTTGCCTCTCTCTTTTTCCCACTAGACTATGAAAACCTTGATAAATAATCCTTGGGCGAGCTTGACTTTATATAGGTTAAGTGGGGTTTCCTCCAGATTTCCAATTATACCCCTG